TGGGAGGAGGGAAATGCACTAGACTGTGGTTATGGCACATGGGTAGTTTGGTGATGGGAAGCCCAAGGGATTACAACCGAGATGAAAGATGCACAAAAAGATGTAAAAATATTATTATATTATTAAAAATATACATATGAGGCAAAAACTGGAAAAAAAATAAAAGATCTAGGATCAGGGCTCTAAGACATTATAACAATGAGAAATTGGGGGATAAGATAGTAAGTAAAGGAGACTAAATAAGCAAAGGAGGAAGAAGTAAAGCATTAAGAGTAGGGTCTACTAGGCACTCCCTGGTGGCGCAGTGGGTTAAAGCACAGCACTGAGAAGCTAAAGCCACTTCCGCATGAGTTCGATTCCGCATGAGCCTGCCCCGGAGGTGACCACATGGCCCGGCAGACCTCTCCTGACCCGCCCGCCCGCTGCTCCCCTCAGCAGTGTACTTCCTTGATCTGCCTGTTCTGTTCCCCACTCTGTCTCTGGTGAAGCCTCTCGCCGCCCCTGAGCCTCTGGCTTGTACCCCAGTTCTGTATGCACAAATAAATAAATCTTTGAAAAGAAAAAAAAAGAGTAGGGTCTACTAGAAGTCAAGACAGGGAAATGTTGCAAGGAAAAAGCAACCAACTTTTTTACAAAATGGCAAAATAAGAGAATGGATCAGGGTTGAACAATATATTCAGAAGCACAAAAATCATCATGTCTCCGAGGACAGAATTGGATGAATGGTGAAGACATGACAAGTGGATTCAAAAGAGAATGGGGAACCTTCCTGGTGGCATAAGGGGTTAAAACTACAGCTCCATGAAGCTATCTGCAGCCCAGTTTTGTTTTTGTTTTTGTTTTTTAAGGTTTATTTATATATACAGAATTGGGATACAGGCCAGAGGTGCTGGTGTGGTAAGAGGATTTATCAGAGACAGAGTGGGGAGCAGAACAGGTTGACTAATGAAGTACACTGCCTAGGGGAGCAGCGAACGGGTCAGAAGAGGTCTGCTGCACCTGTTGTACCACCAGGGGGGTACAACATAATATGCAAAAATAAATAAATCTTTAAAAAGAAAAAAGAAGAGAATGGAAGGAAAACAGCTGATGATAGCAAATGCAATCACTTCAAGGAGGGTTGTTCTATAGAAGTGTAGAAAATAGAGGATATATGAAGTGAGATATACAGAGGTGTTACTTTTGTTTTTGTTTTAAGGTGAAAGACACGGCATGGTAGATATGGCTGGAAATGATGCACCAGAAGGGATAAAATGATGATGCAACAGAACAAGACCAAAAGTGCAAGGTTAATGTGGTGTACAGGTAGTAAATGCCAAAATCCAGGGATAGGGTTGTCTGGAAGCATAAAAAATTCACAGGTAGAAAGTAAAAGGTAGCATTAATAAGTGAGGACACTGTGGCTTAGAAGGCTATTGTACATGTGAAAAATTGTAGGTAAAGGGGTAAGTGAAAAGATGGGAAGAATAACATCTAGAGTAGCTAATGAGTTTACAGAACCAAATAAGCAGTAGGTGGAGATGGTATGTGGAAGTTATCATGCACCTTATTATTGAGACTAAGGAGTAACTATCAACACAGAGGCCAGGTGGGCATGGAACAGTGACTGGTGCTGATCACGTGTGCAGCAAGGGTTCTTAGAAGACTGCTGCAGTTAAGACACTGCAGAGAAGTTCTATATACATTAAGGCTTATAAGGTTATAGTCACAAACAGGGTGGGTTGCCACCCAATAGAGCCAAAGACAGGAGGTTAGGTGGGAAGAAAGAAATAGTAAGAAGCAGACAGGCTGTAATGATGGGAAGGATATCTTCTCACAACTTTCTATCTCTCAGA